CCCCCCCCCCCCCGCCGTACGAGCGCGCGCCGCTTGATTTCGTAATACCGGCCACGAATTAACAGTCTCATAATGTTAACTTAAAGGTGAAAGGTCGATGATTAGTATCCTCAATTCTTTCCATGCTTGTTAATTTGTTTGTCAGGCGTTTCCGTCCAGACTTCAAAACTTTACTTGACGCATCCGGACACTTGTGAGCATTGTTTCGCGTTACGAACGATACATTGAGGCGCAATGTACACTTTAGACCCGCCACACTATATACATTGTAATTCGTAATAAGCGATAATCGCGATAATACAAAAGTTTAATTATACGGGCCGCGACCTCGCGATTCCCGCTTTGAGGGCGCAATTTTCGAAACCATCCGGATTAATCCGCGAAAGTGCATTACGTCCTCACAGCTTTGTTGCCCGACTTATTTCGCTGATCGCGAAGGCGACCGGAAGGATCCTCGAGCGAGCCTCCTCGGAAGAAATGAAGACTCACGACTGTTAGCGCACATTTAGTACCAACTATGGCCGCCTGATTCTCATATCACATTCACATCGACGCAATCTTCGACGAGCTAGACTATAAAATCCGGAAACAGGCAGCCACGCTTAGCGTTAAATGTGCAGGAATTGTACGGACAGATTATACGACGACCGTATGTGATCAATCCTATGAAACTTCTGACGTGTTCGAGAGAAAAGCCGAAACTCACGTTTAGAGAATGCAGGACAATTATCACATTTCAGGCGTTACGATTATATCGTTCTTTATATTTTCGACCAGTGAAAAAGAACGCGAACAACGTCAGCGTCATACATCAGCCGAAGAGAGATAAATTGTACTTTTATAATTTTTAGACGAATTAATAACGATATAATACCGTATTACAATGTCCCGAGAAACATTTGGATTCATTCCCACGTTAGACGAGAACTACAGTTGACACATTGCGTGAAAGATTAGTAGATGTTTATACCGCTTGCGTTCCTCGTAAACGAACTTATCGTTGCCCATGGCTCGCGTGTAACGTATTTCCTTTCTAAACGAAATCATATCTCCGGAAAAATTTTTCGGTGGAGCTCGCACTTTTCCGTTTTTCGGTATCGATCTGCTCGCGAACGCTCGTAAGAGCGAAGTATACAGAGTTTTTCTCAACTCTCTTCGACAAACTTATAGCTATGAATTCTCTCATCACTCCGTGGTTGAACTTTCCCAAGCGGAAATACACAGTCGAATATCAAATTTATCACACTTCCTTAATTAGCAACATTAAACAACGTGACTTTTAGTAACTCGTTTATATCTTTCAAAGATCATATAAGAAAGATTATTCATATCTAATCACAATAGAAAAGTTATTAATATTTCGACAATATATACATTTAAGAAGGAATGATTCCGTACTCTTCAATGAATCCGAAGCGGTGTTTGTCAGCGTAGTTTTGAAACGCCCTGTATATAAACGTCGAATCGGACAAGTGCGCTTATGATGTGTGACTTTCGAGAAATCGCTAAAGAGAAGATTGAAAAGTATATAGAGAGAGAGAGAGAGAGCGAGAGAGAGAGAGAGAGAGAGAATGCTAGAAAGAGATACCAAATTTCTGGCGACTTGCTGAAGCCTCGAAAATAGCTCCCACGTGTCAATAAAGAGAAAACAAAAAGCAAATCTCGCTCTATGATTAGCTTCTGTAATTGATACTAACGCAACGAATCGAACTTCGTCTTTGGAATATCGACGCTTCTTCGTAAAAAAAAAAAAAAAAGAGAGAGAGAGAGAGAGAAAAACAAAGAAAAGAGAAAAAAAGTATAACAGGATAAATATCGTTCCGCAATACGCACGCTTCTGATAGATGGCACTTTGCAGTTGACACTTTGCGCTTTCGACTGAATCCGATAGTTGAAGAATACCGGCTATTCGCAAAATCAACTCGACGCGCGGCGTTTCGCACAGCGCATGCAAATTATTTCCCGCCGCAGGATTACGCTCACGGATGCGTAACGTGCAACACAAGTCGACTCGTTGCCGATGTTAAACACTGCCAACAAGTCACGCTTACGCATATTCTACGTAGACTCTCTACGAAGACCTTGGCTCACACCTGCGATGCCCTCCCCCGCGGCTACGAAAACATGCATAACAGAACTGTAGCAACAAATCTACGATTGATAATTCGGCGATCGTGAAGGCAGGATTTTGAGATTAATTCTATCCGTCGCTCAGAGAACCGACGCATTTCCACATATCCGCATAAGCGAGCTTTCCGAAGCGTGATCGATCGGACTTTGCGCACAATTGCTCGAGTTCTACCGCCGTGTTTACCGCGCCGATTTCACGAAACGTCGCTCCGAATAGTTCGGCGCGATCTCCCCGCAAGTGCTCCGAGAACGAATGTTGATCCAACAAATCACACGTAAAGCGAAACGCGATCTGTATTCTTCGAAAGTTATCACCGCGCGATCCGTTTATTTTGAAAAAACGGCGTACAACGATTTTCAGAAATAGAATTTGCAGAGGTACACGGCACAGGAGTTTGTATTCCAGAATTGAATGTGCGTCGGACTTGGACTCGCGCCACTTTCAAAATAACCGTACGACGAGCAACTTACCGGACGAACAACTACGCGTCGTGGATTATTTTGTGACTTCCCTCAGGGCTGTGATATTTTCCGCGGGCCTCATGAGACGCTTTTTAAGCTTCCACTTCGGAAACAAAAAAGTCGAGGCGCGTCGCTGAAGGAAGGAAACGTGTCGTCGGAGAAAATCGCACGATACGTTCGATACGATTCGTTAAAGCGATATAATAGTCGGTTTCAATGTACATTACCGGTGTACATCCAAAGAAATCTTTTTCTCTATGTGCAAACATAAAGCGAAGTTTTTCTTTCGTACTTTAGTAGAGAGAGATCGCGAAGAAACATTCATATTGCGATTAGAGTGAAAAAACAATCATAATGCATAGGAAGAGCTATTTCCGAGGTGCTAATTTTGCTTCGTATTGCCCTTCTACCGTGTGATCGCGTATGCGGTTCTATAAGATCCTATGAGTGTGTATGATTTTATAGCGTAAGATTGTCGCCAAAACTTCCACATACATCTTTCATCCCGATTTTATCGATATTTCTAGATCTCAACCGACCATCATACCGCCTTAATCGAATAAATTGCGAAACATCGTGTGCACGAGATGCACACTTTATCGATACGCCGAGATTTTCCGATTACGACTTTGTAATATTGCGTTGAATGATAGCGGCATCGAAGTACAGATCCGTAGCGGAAACGACAAGAAGTGTAGCGTAGTCTATCGCGGACCGTACATCTGCGAGAAATTTTTAGGTACACAATTAACGCGCGAACGATTTAACGAAAGCACACGCAAGTGCACACGCATTTCGTGAGAACACGAACCGATGCCTTCAACAATTCGCGGCGCTATTTCACGAGCGACGGAATTTTCGTCCGCACAAACTGTCAGATAACTAGAATCTCGACGCGGAACACACTTTTGCAACATGAGAAGAGGCGCGAATTAAAAAGTGCTTGTATAGCTGTTAATTCGTAAAAAGAAAAAAATAATATATATCGTTGGTTGTACTTTTCCCCGCGGCAACATTCGAATCTCGATCCAGCAAAAATGCGAATTCCTTTTTCTCTCGAAATAAAGTTATCAGCATGCAACTATTTCCAAGAAATCTAGCAAATACACTGAAAATTGTCAAAACGAACAAAAAAAAAGAGTTTACGATTAATCGATAACCGTACTAGCGAGACGCAGCTCCCCTTTACATACATTTTAGCAGCAATAACGCAAATAATCGCCAAATAGTCTACTATTAAGTAGCATAAACGACCAATAGGAGGATAATTTCTAATTCGTATGGAGTAAGTCTAACGAGTACGTAATTACGGCACTTTGCTCAATACCACCAATTAGGACATCAGGACATACACACGAAACACACACGTACCGCTCTTTCCGTAGCGTCTCCGTAATTAAATCACGTTTAGATAAACCAAACGGACATCACGGTTATTCTTTATAAATAATTTATGAGACCTTCCCCCTCGCGCGAAGACGCAAGTAGACGCCGAGACAAATACCACAAGCCAACCCGAGTCGAGGGAAAACCTAGATAATCATTTTCAAGTATGTATGAGTGAGCACGTGAAAGAGCGAACGGTGATTGTAGCGAAAATAATGTTACGCAAAACACTCAGCATGCGAGCGAGCGAGCGAGCGAGCGAGACGAGAGAGAGAGAGAGAGTGAGAGAGAGAAAAGACATAATGTCAAAAACCAGAATAATTTCGAGCGTTTCGAGATGGAGGACGTAATAACAATCGTACCCGAATAATGTCAATTATTTGTAGGCGAGAGATGAATTTTATCTACGCATCGTTCGCGCCTCGTATCGTTTCGACAATCTATAATTCTCGAGTTCGCTCTGCTACAAAATGACGTTTCTCGCCTTACGTTTTCATACATTACAGAGCGATTACCTATGGAAAGGGAGAATCAAATTCAGAAAAAGGAGAACCCAATTACGGACGGATTTGGACGTTCTCTTCTCGAAAGCTCGATCGTTATTCTCCCGATAGATCAACGTGTTCATTTTGTAAAACCCGAGAAGTAGGGCGATCAACCCACGCATGTGTAGAAACCATTTTTTCTAAGACGACTTGACCGAGGAAAGAGACGGGGAGAAGATCGGGGGGGAGAGACACGGGAGGAGGAACACAACGGTCGAGACGACAAAGGGAAATCTTAGCTATAAACCTTAACGTGTATAATATAAACAACACACAACTGCCTAGAAGATTCAGATTAATATATATATATATATATATACATTTATATATATATATATATATAATATTATACTTACTATATTATATACAATTAATAATGACATGTCTAAACGCACAACGGGCAAGTTTAACTGGACGAGGGGACGCGCGCGCGTGT